GAACTGGTGTAGTTCACAAAAACACAAAGAATGAACATCAAAATGCCTGTAATTTCTGGCAAAAGTAGTTCCCAACAGCAAACAGCAATTCCTTTAAGCGCCAAGACATTTATGTAAATATTCCCCCCCAAAAAATCTCGTAATTGTTGTGTTGAAATGCAAAATTTATAGGTCAGTCCCAGAAATCAAATATTATTCACAAGAGGAACAGAGCATGTTGGCACTGAGGTAAATTACGCTTGTACACTTAACATATTAATGTCTGTTTACACTTCCTGTGAACATGATCTGAGAAAGAGAGAGCTAAAATGGGTAATTTAAGGATGTTTTTAAATGTGGACAACCAATAAAGAGAACGTTTGTTTTAAATGATTCAACTGACTGAATTTTTCAAACAAAAGTAGCGAGAAATAAAACATGTGTAGATCCTGTTCAAGTCACCGACGCGGAAAACCATAAAAAGCACCGTAAAATGTACTTAAAGTGCTTTTAAAGGGATAGTTCAGCTACAAATAAAAATACTAAATAAAAAAGCCTTATTAACTCTCCCTCGTTCCAAACCTACATGCATTTTTTAATAAAATACACATGCAGATGTAAAGAATCTATTTGTTTCATAGTTTATACGAAGTTGTAAATAAAACAATGATTATTGGGGAACATTTCTTTGTAATTATTTGTCAAATTTACTAGCAATTTCAGAGTGAGAATTGCTTCTACACCAACTTTTTTTTTTCAGACTAGTTCTGTTCCTATGACTTTAGAAGACTTCAAATATCACGCAATATAATGCAAATATAATGCAGTTTGTCCAATTTGACAGCTTGTTATTAGTATAAACAGTTGAGGTACGACAACAAGTATTTTAATATTTTTTAAAACAGTTTTTGTTGTTTTTATCGGCGAAATAACAGATGGATTGGACTGACATGAGGGTGAGTAAATAATGACAGCATATTTGGGTAAACGATTCTTTTAAAAGACACGCAGTCCTTTGACAATGCTTATAAAGTATAGACTTAAGATTTCAATGTTTTATTTATTATATTGATGGTTTATAGTTTGTAAGAAGACAATATAATTCAAATATATAAGTGTCTGTGCAATTTATTTCAAAACTGGCAAGACATTGGTATTTGAACAGTTTTAGTCCATCCAGAAAAGACACATTTATGAATATTATATGAAATGAATGTGCATCTCATTTTAAATCAAGTAAATGCCCATATCAAAAGGGAAAATAACAAACTCACAGTGAGATATCAAGAACAGACAAATGGGCTATTGAAAACTGCAGTTTCGCATGCTCTTCAGTTGAGTGTCTTGAAAAATTTAAAAGGAGAAGTACTGTGAAAATAGCTCTTGTGGTTGCTGTTCTTTTGATGCTACAGTTGAATCCTCAGTCTTACGAGGGCTGCACAAAACACAGAGAAGTCAAACACAACCAGTTACACTGCAGCAACATTAAAGGAAAGAGAATTTGCACATCCTAATCAAACACTTCCACATTGAGTTGCTACTTTATTGCATGATGATACTATCTAAAAAATGAACAGTGGCCGCGAAAAATTTCAGACGAATACAATCGGAGTTATATTAAATAATGTCCAGGCTAATCCATGCTTTATTATGGGAGTGGAAGGTAGCCCAAAATTTGAAGTCGAAAAAATTGCACCCATCCATTATAAAAGAAGTCCACACGGCTCCGGGGGGTTAATAAAGGCCTTCTGAAACGACACAATGCGTTTGTGTAAGAAAAATATCCATATTTACAACTTTATAAACCTTAATCTCCAGCTTCCGCTAACTGTCATACGCTCGTTCATGAGAGAGTGGCGTCCAGCGGATGATGTAAGACGTAGGCGTAGCATAAGCTCCGGTGAGAATATGCTAGTCTCGCGAGAAACAAGTTTTGTTTACAGCAAAGGAAAACCAGTGTCCTCTTGGCTTATATCGAAATCCTCAGACATTTTTCTTTACAAATCCTCATTCTGTACTACTAATTCGTGACTGGTGTTTTGTTTCGCTCTCTCCTCTGCACTTCCACATTTGTCACTTCCGCGTTCGTCACCGCGTTTGCCTACGTACTACGTCATCCGCTGGATGCCACTCTCTCGTGAACGCATGTACGACAGTTAGCGGAAGCTAGAGATTAAGGTTTATAAAGTTGTAAATATGGTTATTTTTCTTACACAAACGCATTGCGTCGCTTCAGAAGGCCTTTATTAACCCCCCGGGGGCCGTGTGGACTTCTTTTATAATGGATGGGTGCAATTTTTTCGACTTCAAATTTTGGTTTACCATCCACTCCCATTATAAAGCATGGATTAGCCTGGACATTATTTAATATAACTCCGATTGTATACGTCTGAAAGAAGAATGCCATATACACCTAGGATGGCTTGAGGGTGAGTAAATCATGGGGTCATTTCCATTTTTGGGTGAACTATCCCTTTAAAATTGAGACTGAATGTATTTGGATCAGCATTTTTGTGCTTTGTTGGAAGGGGACGCTACTCGGAGGCTCATTTCAAATGAACAGAATGAATGACAAAGTGTACATACATTGTAAAAATATTTTTTTTGAAGTTCAGGTAAATTTAGTACGTTTTTAAGTAAAGAAGTCTCTAAATGTAAATGTCTTATATTAGCAAGGCATAGTTTGAAAATACAACTTCCCAACATATCTCCATTACTTTTTAATTCATTTTACAAAAAGAACAAATATGGCTTGAATACCACCGCCCTCAACCGCTAGAATATGGAAATAACTTTTTCATCAGTATTTTTGTCGTTTTCCAGTGCGAAGGTCTAATTTTTTTAAAATCAAGATAAATTTACTTGAGAAGCAAAATGACATAAGAAGTCTTGTTTCATGAGCAGCTGATCAAAAATTGAGTTTATGATTAAAACAAGAACGTGCTCAGAAAAATCAACTTAATTGAAAGTTTTCACACCCCATTGAAAGATGTCTGTTCGTGTTTTAAGCATAAACTCACTTAATTTTGTTCAGTTACTCTGAAAACAAGACTTGCTTATTTTGCATCTCAAGTAAATTTATGTTGATTTAAGGATGATTAGATATTTATATTGGAAATATATTCTTATTTTTTAACATTCCTGTTTCCTTCAATGTGTTACTTGCCATTTCTTTATTATTTGTGAAATTCTCAAGTAATTTCTGAGAGAAAATATTTTCAAAGTACTCCTACACCATTTCTTTCAGTAAATAAAGCATACTAAATACATAATTTTGTCATTTCTGATGTGATCCTGTGCGATTCATTTGGAAAACAGATATAAACTTATCTAAACTTAACAAAATATAAATTAATGTGCAAATATCAGTAAATATATTTATTAATATTACCTCAACTGTTGGTTAAAAGTAATTTCACACACTATTTTAGGAAAGTATATTTATATTTTGAGTTAGATATTTTGATTTTTAATCTGTTCATTAAATCTGTTCATTAATCAGATAAAAGTTAAAATTTTAATATTATTTTTTGTGGCCCCTGTACATGTGTATTTACATTATTTCCCTATAGTAGTCATTACTATATTCAAGTAACCTTTGCTTTTTTGGCAGCAGTAAGAATGATCCTTAAATTTGATGTCTAACTACCGGAGCAAACAGTGCAGTGTCTCTTGACCAATAGGAAGCTGTCCTCCTTGTTCAAGCATCAAATAAATCACAGGCACCATGTTGAACTATTTCCTTTTAAATTATAAATAAAATATGCCTCTCTACCAGAAACGGTCCTATATTATCTCCCAGCCCAAAGCTGCGTACAACATGTTCCTGTGCTTGAATTCACTAGGCAAGAAATACCAGGAATAGCTGCTCATCATTTGAATAGCTCATTTTAAAACCACAAAACAACAAATGCATGAAATGTGAAGGGCGGAGTACGGCTAATAGGCAGAGCCATACTCGTGACTGCTATGTAATGACATGTGATGACATCAACCGCATGCTCACGTCGGCATTCCAATGCCATTGTGTGATCACACACTGTTTAGGTGAACTTTCAGTCTGATTTAAGGACATTGGTACGCACAATTTATCATGCACATCAAAGTAGCATGAAATACAAACATTTTTAATGTGTGCCGTTCGCCGGCAAGATGCATTAAAAAGTGAGACGAGCATACCCACAATTCACTGATATATATATATATATATATGTGTGTGTGTGTGTGTGTGTGTTCAGGTTGGTTTGGTTATGATTTTTGTTTTTAAATTAATAATTTTATTTAGCAAAGGATGCATAAGTGACAGTAAGGACATTTCTATTTCAACGCTGAAGAACGCTGTTTATTTTAACTTTCTCTTTATCAAAGAATCCTGAAAAAAATCACATTCCTTACAAAAATATTAAGCAGCATGACTGTTTTCAACATTGGTAATAATGAGAAATGCTTCTTGAGCACCAAATCAGCATATTAGAAAGATTTCTGAAGGATCATGTGACATTGGAGACTGGAGCAATGATGCCGAAAATTCAGCTTTGCATCACGGGAATACATTACATTTTAAAACACATTAAAAAAGAAAAGATTTATTTTAAATTGAAATATTTGTAATATTTTACAAAATTACTTTTCACTGTATTTTTGATCTAATAAATAAATGCTGCTTTGGTGAGCATAAGAGACTTCAAAAACATGTTAGATTCTATTGAAACCACCATATGGGTCAATTTTGAGGTTTTACAGTATGTCCTATGTAAGCAGCACATTAGGTTTCAGAACAGAACTTATGATTTGGAAAGCAGGGTAGAACTTGATGTTTGAACATGGATATAAGACACAGACAATGGCAAATTGCACAATCACAACTTAAGCAACAGAAAGAAAAAGTTAGACCAACTAAAAGAACAGTAGAAGGCTATTAATAGTCTTTGCAGAACATCCCATTCCAGCGGTACCTCTGTAAACCCACTTCCCATAAGGCATAACCTTTGAAGTATTCTTTTATTACATTCATGGATTCCATGAACTGTAGGGATGGAGTGCTTTTAAAAAGGTTTATGGTTTGTGCTTTTTTTTTTTACGATCAGATCAAATCCAATTTATGTGGACTTCAGAGGTACTCTTTGATCAGTGTGGCTGTGTCTCTCTAACCTTTATAAGGGGGTTTATGACACCAACATTGGGATTGGTGTTGAACACCTTGTTGAATCCAGGCTCTCGATTCACCAGCTCCAGTTGATAAAACTTCTTGTCATCCTGGAACAAAGGAGGCACAGTCAGACTGAAAGGCCCTGTGCAGAAAAATCAGTGAACTGATATTGACTTTTGTCTTAAGACATGTAATGCTTTGGGACAAAAATAAATGTAAAAGAACAGAAGTACACATATCACTTTTAACGGGATGCTGCACCTCTACAGACCGTTGCGGTGGACACTTACCACAAGCTTCTTGACCAGAGTTTCTCTCTCGGACACCATTTCTCTGAGCTCAGCTATCACCTGGAGGTCCTCTGGTCGGCTTTCTCTATTCCTGAACTTCTCCTCCGTACCTTCCAACCTGCTCATCCCACACACATACATATTAACAATTATACTGCAGTAAAAACAACCACAAAACAACAAATGCATGAAATGTGAAGGGCGGAGTACGGCTAATAGGCAGAGCCATACTCGTGACTGCTATGTAATGACATGTGATGACATCAACCGCATGCTCACGTCGGCATTCCAATGCCATTGTGTGATCACACACTGTTTAGGTGAACTTTCAGTCTGATTTAAGGACATTGGTACGCACAATTTATCATGCACATCAAAGTAGCATGAAATACAAACATTTTTAATGTGTGCCGTTCGCCGGCAAGATGCATTAAAAAGTGAGACGAGCATACCCACAATTCACTGGGACAGACATAGCCGTGTTCTCGTATCAAAACGTCCAATCAACAGACAGACTGACGGTTTTTCTACCGTTAGGACTGAGACCGTGTGATCCGACCAATGGCAAGACTGTGGTTTTAAGCATGTCTCTTGTGAGGACAAGGACGTCTCGGACAATCTCACCTCCGGGTGGAGTCGGCCTGAGGCGGAGGGGTTGGAGGGGGCAGAGGTTTGTTAGACCTGAGCTCATGGTGGTGAATGGGGGAGTTGGGGACAGACTCTAGGCAAGCAGGCAGAACCGAGCCGCCCGCCATCCCTTCCACCGCAACAACGCTTAGGTTCGGAGAGCTGGCGAAAGTGTTCGCAGGTTTTCTACTCTTATGCTACATTAAAAGGACACACACAGAAAGGGATTGTGGGAAGTCGGAGGTGATGGCGAACTGTAGCTTCAAGCTAAACGATGACAAGGTAATGAACATCATTTTGAATGTGGACAGGGAACAGAAATGACAGATTATAGCTCCGTTACAAAACCTAGTGAGCTGACTCTCATAGGTGCGGTCGTGAAGCAATGCCTGTTTAAAAAGGTATAATACCTAATTTTGTTATTAAATTAATTATAAAAAGTTTCGGCAGCATGTATCCTTTATATCCACACATACGGCTTAAGTGTGTGCCAAAAGTTTAAAAAAAAATCAAGGTGAGAGAAATGTTTATTATACACTTTTATTTCATTTAATACAAAAAGTATTGATGATATAAGAATAGTCCAATCAAATAAAAAAATTACTATCACCCAATGTTTATCTTATATATATATATATATATATATATATATTATAGAAAAACAATTGTAATAGTTTTAGTATTTAACAATAACAACACTGCATTGGCATGCTTTTAACATGAAGTTTTATAGACTACCAAAGTGATTTATAAACCATCAAAGTGCCATGTTGCTGTACTGTTGGTTGCTAGTAGATGTTCCCACCAGACTTCTTGTTTTTGCATAAAGTAAACTGTTTATGCTAATTCTCATTGCTAGCAATCTCTGTCACTTATGTTGCTTCAAATGGTAAATTTTCACCAAAAATGAATGACTTTTTTCCCACTTCAAATTGCAGTCAGTGTGAATGCTCCTTTAGGCATAATCACATATATCCTTCATGTTTAATCCCAGAATTGCATTGCAACCATCTCAGCGAAACTGTGCATTCAAGAAGGCCAACAACAAAAAGTTGTTAAAAATAGTTCCATCTAATTAAAACTGTCACCTAATATATGTTATGCAATTTTGTTTGCTAAGCAGAATGCTAACATCAGACTCTACTGCAATACTTTAATAAGCATCAAAAATACTTAGAACATTATGTGTGGAGCACGGCCGTGATCAGATCGTGATGAGAAGCAATTACATTCGAGGTACTATTTTAGCCTTAGAAGACCTATTTGTTAGGATACTGTAGTAGAAATCAAGGCAGCTCGCTAGGTTTTGAACCAGAGCTAATGTGATTCATCTAGCTGTCTTCTGAAATATTCACGAGGATATTACATTAAAATGATGTGTTTTGATATTCAATTCAATTTGATATTCAATCTGTAAGTGAGATAAAGGGACTCACAGAATCTGCAGAGCAGAGATCTTGTCTTTTAGCAGCTCCTGAGCTTTGTTAAAATCTGACAGCATGATCTGGGTCTCTCTGTTATGAGAAGCGTTCAGCTCATCAATCTCCCTCTCCAGGCGCTTAGAGAGATCCTGTTCATGAGCCCTACATAAAATAAAATCATTTAACATATGCAAAACAGTTTGTCCATTTACATACACTCTTAAAAATCCGTGAAGAACCTTTGACATCCATGAAACCATTCCATTACACAAAAGGTTCAACACTGGAGAAACATTCAAATGTTCTTCACACTAAAAAAAGTGGTTCTTTTTAAGAACTGTATACTGAAAGTTTCCCAAAATGGTTCTTTTGTGGCACTGCTGCGAAAACCCTCTTTGGAACTTTTATTTTTAAGAATGTAATGTCAACAAATAGAGCAAATACTCTGGACAACAAACACATTCAAATTTATTTTGCTTGGAGACGAACAAGCTCGCTAACTTAGAACAAATTCCCTCAGTTCCCCAAAGAATATCATCTCTTTTCATGAGCCAGGAATTAGCCCATTTGAATAAAACCAAATGAAATTTGTTTGTATATATCTGCCAGACACTTCCCACTGACCTTGATGCATTTATACCATCAGAACAGAAGAATGCAACTGAAATGATACCGAACCAGAGAGCTCTGCCTGAAGGCGGTGGGCTTTTGCGTGGGAAATAGCTCCGTCTGCTTTCTTCTCACATTAAATTAGCTTCTGGTTCAGCTAGACTGACCTTTAGGATTTTATCATTTAATAGCTCATGAAAGCCAAAAAAGATTCTACACACGCATAAGATGTCAGTTGCTCTTTTTTGCATAAAATGAGGCTATCAAACCTATTAAACCAGGATAACGGCATTGTTCACTGTTTGTACTCTAACCTTAACATGAAAGTATTACTGTGAGCATGGCAATTTCCCGTTATGTTTCTGGCCTTTCTGGCATTTTATTGACAGAGACAGGGAGACAATAAGTGATGTGGAAATAGGGAGGAATAGGATCAAAAAGTGAAGCAAGATCTTCGATTGCTTGACTAAGTGCTGAGTCCAATAAGTTCTAGAAGTTAAAACAGCATCATAAAAGGTTAATACATCCTCACAGATGTTAATAAGTTGGTACCTGATCTGCAGATTGGCCTCACTGCGCACCCTCAGAACCTCTTTCACTTTGAGCTCCAACTCCTTGGTCAAGGTGCTGATGGTCTCATTGAGCGAATGCATTTCATGGTCCAGATTGGCGATCCGGTTCTTCCTGCAGCTCACCTCATGCCTCAGGTCAGATATACGCCCTAGGAGATCTTGTTCCTGGAGAGGCAATCCACAAAAACATTAAAACATATACATATATATATATATATATATATTTTGTGCCAGACCCATAAGCTTTCAAAATATGTATATAGGTCACATTAAAAGAGATTCAATTGTGCTGAAGTAATAACTGAAGTGAAACGAACATGAGAGAGTGAGACTATGAGTGTGTATTATAGAGAAAGACAGAGAGGGGGATTATAAATCAAATATGAAAATGGGAAGGGGTGTAAGTCACAGTAAGAGCTCTCCCATAATTCAGAATTCAGTACCTCATTTTGTATTCATCGTGGTTATTCTTCAAACTTAGCTTTGCAGCTTAGCTTAGAGACATTTTATAATAGCCTGGCACTCGTTTCACTTCTCAGTCAGATTCAAGCCTTTCTATTGTGAAACCACAACCATGTCTTGAAACCAAGGGCACCTATGTGGCATCAGGTTTTATCCAGGTGTGGTATAATCACTCTAGGGTGGTGACCAGAAGGTTGTAAGTTCAAACCCCTGCAGTGAGCGATCCATGAGCTATTATCATCATACCTTTAAGCGAAAAGATTTGCTCTGTAATAAATGCACTGTGAGTTACTCTAGGATAAAAACAGCTGTGAAAATGACTATTTACTGTCATGATAACAGTGTATATGAATATACTACAGGACTTTAATGACCTCATAGAAGGCTCTAATCTTGTAGGCTGGTGTGTGGTGCTGTAGTTAATGTGAGCGTATGACTCACCCAGCATGGCTTTGCCCTCATCCTCCAGCTCAAAGCGCAGCGTCTGCAGCTCCTGGTCCGAATGCTGCCGAAGGATTTCCAGGGTCTGTCTGTGGGCATCTCTCAAAGCGTGTAACTCCTCTCTCTGTTCCTGTTTTAGACGCTCCTCAAGCTCCTACACAAATGCACACGTACAGACGCAGAGGAAAATAAAGACATAAAAATGCAGAAGCACACATCCAATGCATAAAACAAAAGACCACATTTGCATCTGAATGCAACATGATGCGATGGGAACAAAAGGTGTCAATGAGAAAACTAGATTTGCATTTAATGAAGGAAATGGCAGAGCTTGCAAGGCAGCAAAAAAACAATGTTAAAGTTTTAGGTAAGCTTAGGTTTTTTGATTGTGCATAAATGAAGCACTGCTTTGTCTCTATTATTATTACTACAATTTAAAAAAAGCTTTTTCAATTTTAATATATTGTAAAATGTCATTTATTCCTGTGATGCAAAGCTTTCATCTGTCATTACTTCACTCTTCAGTGTCACATGATCCTTCAGAAATCATTCTATTATTTGATTTAATGCTCACGAAATATTTCAATGTTGAAAACGTTTGTGCCGCTAATCTTTTTTGTGGAAACTGTGATACTTTTGTTTCAGGATTTTGTGATGAATAGAAAGTCAAACAGCATTTATTTGAAAAACAAAACTTTTGTAGCATGATAAATGTGAAAAACGGATCAATTTAATGCATCCTTGCTGAATAATAAAAGTATTAATTTCTTTAAAAATCTTATAACCCCAAACTTTTGCACTGTAGTGTAAATATTAGGGCTGTCAAACCGATTAATCACGATTAATCGCATCCAAATTAAAAGTTTGTGTTTAAATGATATGTGTGTGCACTGTGTATATTTATATGCATATATACACATATTATGCAAACCAAACTTTTATTTTAGATGCGATTAATCGGGATTAATCATTTTGAAAGCCTAAATATATGTAACAAAGAAAAGACCAATCAGTTCAGTATGCAAATAAATAAATAAAATGAAACCCAATCACAATTTAGAATGTTATGATGACATCATCGTGGCTGTTACATTTTGAGGCTGAACATTAATGTAAGGAAAATAGAATTTTCTTTTACATTTTCAAAAAATTTTAAGACCAACATTAAAAAAAACAAATAAGTGTGTTCATAATTTGGAAATTTTGAGATTAATCATGATTGTTTTATACTTTTTCAGAGCCATAGCTTTAACTGTAAAATATAAAAACAAATGACAACATGAATGCCAATTATTTAATATTTAAACATGTACTCCTTAAAATTTCATACATTTTTTCACACAGCATAAATAGGCCTTTAAATATAGTAGCCTATACAGTATAGCTGACTTGGTATTTTAGGAAGGAGAACATCATATTAGTATTAGAGCAGCCTTCATATCAAAAAGTCTGTAAACCTCTGCATTAAGCCATTTGGACTGAATTAACTGCAGAAATTTGGAAAGAAGAATAGGAATTAAGAGGATTTTCAATACAGTGGGTTAGTTACTAATTAGATGAAGTTGTGCAGTATCATCTATTTAGAGAATAATTCTGTTTTACTGTTGACACACTGCCATTTTGTGGATAGTTTCTCTTTATCCTGCTGCTTCCATGCCACCCCACATTTGGGAGGACGAGAGGACATTTAAACAGTCCACCCACAGAGCCACTCTAACATGCAGCGCCAACAACCGCATTCAAGGGTTGACATAAAAGAATGGAGATGAAAGCAACTATTAATGTTATTTTTTCATTACTTAGTAATCTGAAATGTGGCCAAATCAGCTTAAAGAAGCTTCTTTCATGGCCACAGCGCAAGGCTGAGTGAGATGGAGAAAAGCCTGTTAGACTCTGCATCACCTGTCTGCTTCAAATGTCTGGGCTTGCTATCTTAAAATATTCTGTGCAATGCACAATTCTGAAATGAAACAACAGCAGCGCGTTCCTGGATGAGAAACATGTTTTTATATGCATATTGTGTTTTAGGAGTAGACTGTAGACAAGGAAGGACAAAAAGGAGGGTAATTTACCATATGGATGTCATGCAGAGTGGAGATTCTCAGTGTGGGGTGATAATGCAGGGGTGACAAATCCAGAGAGTAAAGGAAACAGACATGTACAGTACTATGAAGGGGAAAAGGAGACAGTGAAGGTGATAATCAATACAGGATGACAGGCAGGAGGCATCACGACTATATGAAAAACAAGTAACACATACAATACCGTTCAAAGGTATGCTGTTTTTGCGATTTTTTTTAAAGGAATAGACACTTTTATTCAGCAAGGATGCAAAGGAAATAATTCTTGAGCATCAAATCAGCATGTTAGAATGATTTCTGAAGGAAATGAAACATTAATGTGACAATGAAGACTGCAGTAATGGCTGCTGAAAATTCAGCTTTGCATCACAGGAATATATTACATTTGAAAATATATTATTTATTAATATTAATATTTAATAATATGACTGTTTATATATTTGTAATCAAATAAATGCAGCGTTGGTAAGCATTTCGTAAAACTTTAAGACACCCCCAAACGTCTGACCGGTTAATAACGTATTCATGTTATATTAAATAAATATTTAAATAATTTAACTATAAATAATAAAAATTCTCCATAAAATATAAATTGAAAATTAGGGATGGACCGATAGGATTTTTTTTGGCCGATACCGATACCGATTTTTAACAAACAACTATTGGCCGATTCGGATACCGATACCGATATTGGTCCATTGCATAAAGCAGGGCTTAAAAACGAGAAAGAAAAAAAAAAGATTGGTTCACTCCGAGCAGAATCGGTATTTGAACATTTCTGCTCCTGCGTTCCTCTGTGAAACCGGTTTGGGTAGAAAACATACCGGTTAATAACGTTGTTTTTTAAACTTTTTCTTTGCTAATAATAATAAAAATAATAATAATAAAGTACAGCATTTAATTTACTCAAAAAGAAAAAGAAACAACTGCCTAAATTAGTAGGCTGTATGTTGCATTTTATTATTACATTCAGAAATAATGTAGGCTAAAATACTGGTAAATTAAAGCAAAATTACAAACACAATTAGGCACAATTTAGTTCCCTTCTCTCCACAACAAATCCTCTAAAGTTGTGCTAAATATAAGAGTCAAGCCAAAACTAATGCTAACCTATTATTAAACTATAGGCTTTGTTCTTTACTCGCATTATCGATGTAAAACATCATCCTTCACATATAGGCTATATCAGCAGTGAGGCGCGCTGGTCACACTGAACGGCACATACTGTACTACGGACTATTTAAATTGAGCAGTGTAAAAATTTGTTGTATGTGCGTGTGAGGCACCGGACGTGATCACTGCATTGTTTTCCCAACTGTTACGGGTCATTTATGGTCATACCAATGCTGGTTGGTCATGCAGATAGAAGCAAAACATCATTCAAAACTGTAAAGCTTTTGTAAAATAAAGAAAACGGCTTTCTGCCGTCTCGTTTTTTTTCTCCCCGTGAACTTCAGAGCGCGTTATTATCCGAAACTCAGCACAATTTTTTTCTTTTGTTTTGTTAATCTGTTAATGATTTAAGATAAATATATTTTGTCTATAGGCCTATATATTCCTTTTTATGTAGCCAATATAGTTTTATTCTGTTTTCTCCGTTCACAGAAACGCAGCAGGTGCGTGAGGTGACCTTGTGTGAATCTGTATTCTACACTGGTTTCAAACAAAAAGCTGCATATAACCTGCCATTCTTTTTCACTTACAGTAAATGTAGGCCTAATGCTTGGCGGTTCGTGACATATCCTCGCATAAACTCTAACGCCGGTGCATTGCCATTGCGACTTACCTATGATGAATTTACAGCTGAGAGCGGGCATTTCACTCGTTGGATGCATCAGCGTCACGTCTGCATAGGCCGTATTATGTAGTCTGACAAACTATATTTTGTACAGATTTTATTTTTATTTTGTTTTGGCAAGTATTGAATTATTTTGCCCAGAGAAAAACATTGGATTATGCAACAGACATGCAACTCATTGTCTCCATGCAGTTAACTAATAAACCATCGGTATCGGCCCTTTTCATGCTATTTCCGATATGCAGATGGCTTTAAAATAATAAAAAATCGGCCGATAAATATCGGCAGCCAATACATCGGTGCATCCCTATAGAAGATTGTAAAATATAAAAACGAAATGTTAAACTATTTGAACAAACAAAAACAAATAATATTTGTGAGATGTGCCAGCATGGGAAATGTGTCATTATGCTGAAAATAAAAAATGACAATGCCACAGCCAATCTGAAATGTAATCCTTTCAGAAATAGCCCTGTATTAGAGATGAAATATGACATCAACTGCATGCAACATGCTATTACAATAATTTTGACTGCTGTCTTTCTGTTGAGCTTTATCATCAGTTTTATGCAAGTAAAATACAGGTGCATCTCAATAAATTAGAATGTCGTGTAAAAGTTCATTTATTTCAGTAATTCAACTCAAATTGTGAAACTCACGCACATCAAGAGATGCTGACAGATGTCTGACACAGCAACTTTTAGAGGCTCTTGACATAAGCGACAGTGACGGGATTAGTGACAGACTACAGGAGGCAGGCTGTCACATTACAGAAAGTGCCAAACATGCAGAGCATCATGGTAAATGAGGATGCACACACTAGAGACTGTGTGTATTCTGCTTAAAAATCTTGACTAAGTATCTAGAATTTTCAGTCACACCAAGTTTTCCTGATAATGCACAAGACCAGAAAAGCCTTAGCATCAGAATTTCAAAAAGAACATCATGTCAATCTAAAGTAAATGGCGGATGAAAGATGTTGACAGATACACGGCTGACAGTTACTCAAATAAGAATCGCAGCTATGGGACTTATTATGGTCTCAGAAGTCATACTATTCCAAATTAATATATTCAAGGAGACATTTGATGGATTTGAATGAATTTCCTTGCTCTTTTAATATAAAAAATATGTAGGTATGTAGATAATACTAGTATGTTCAAAAAGCAGTCCAGACAGACTTAGTTTCAAATTAAGCTGCAAAAACGAATCATTTAGAAATCTTCATGGTATTTGATGTCCCATTAACATATGACCATTAACGTGAATTTGAACATATATATTAGATATTCAGCAAATTATTTTGCTCTAATGAATGATCCAGTTACACAGAAGTTAACAGAAGTCCCTTAAATACAGAAGACTTTGATTTGCTACTTTAAAAAAAAAAAAAAAAAAAAAAAGAAAAATGTAAAATGTAGAATACAAGACATTTTTGGTTTTACAAACATTTGCTTGATTTGCTACATTTTTGTATGATTTTTACAAACATTTGCTACTTTTAACAGATGTTTGCTTTGTTTGGTTACATGTTTTGTTTGTCCTTACAAATGTTTGTTTTGTTACACTTCTGTTTGTTTTTCAAACACAACTGTTTATGCTACTAGCAACCTAAAACAAGAGTACTTCTGGGAAAAAAGTTACAATAGTGTAGAATACAATCAATTTTTGTTCTTACATTTCTGTTTTTACAAACATTTGTTTGATTTCCTACATTTTTTAATTTTTTCAAACATTTGCTTTTTTATAGATGTATGTTTTGTTGTGTTTTTCTTTTTTTGTTTGTTTCTACAATGTTTGTTTTGTACAATTTTGTTTCTGGAGCACAATTGTTTAGCTATATGACTGCTACAAGAAACCTGAAAACAAGAATATACTAGGGGAAAAAATGTTACAAGCGCAACAACTGTAAAACAAGCAATTTTTGTTTTAAAAAACATTAGTTTTGAATTGTTACATTTTTGTTTGATTTTTACAAACGTTTGCTACTTTAAAAAAAAAAAAAATATTTGTGGCATTTTTTAAACATTTTTCTTACAAATGTTTGTTTTGTTGCAGTTTTGATAACAAGAATCCTGAAAACAAGTGTACTTCTGGGAAAAAATGTTACGAAAATGTAGAATACACCTCTAAAATGTGGACAACAGGTATAAATGGCAATTGTCACCTCTGTGACCTTCCGTTACCTGTTCCAGGAGGTCCTCCACCTTCCTCTGCCAGCTCTCCCTGGCTGCCATCATCTCCAGGTCTCTCTGCTGGGAAAGTTGTGTCAGGGCCACCTGTTTCTCCGCCTGATGTTCAGCTGTGAGCTCTTCCCGAAGACCCTTCAGCTCAGCCCTGAGAGCAAACAGAGAAACAGAGGGTGAAACTGACAAGGTGAAACAGATACAAGGACGCATTACTTCAACAGCATGGAATTGACTCTGAAAGTGAGATATTAAAATGTTAATAGGAACGACACAGATGTCTCCGTAACCTTCAGCTCACTGTATACTGTGTGCTGCTGTACCATTGTGCAGATTAGATGTGAACCTTATACTCTTGTAATTAGCATATTTTAATCCAAATGCATGCCTGTGTAAGAGGATTTGTCACAGACTTTGATGCAGGACAGACTGCACCTATTTTAGAACCTTTTTAGATTTGATTTGCCGTGTGCACTCTCTAAAAACCAAACACTGTGCACAGTCACAGTTTATTCAATTTAATGCACTGTGCATCGACAAATCTTACTCTGTTTTTAGCCTTGTCTTCTCTACAGTAATGCATGACTCATATGTTTCGTGCAGCACCTCAGAGCATCGGTCCACTTGAGATCCAGCTCCTCTGTGATTTTGTCCATTTTCTGTTTTTCCTCTGTTTTGATAGCGATGACCCTAGCTTCATGTTGCTGTTTCTGGGTCTCTATCTCCTCCTGTGAGAAGATAATGACTCATCATGTGAAAAGCAAGGAGAGAGCAGTTTCCAATAGAGCTGATTACACAAATGTCGTCTTTAGACATGCAAGCTCTTCCTGCACTTCGCAGGCTTTAGCGCAGAACAAAAGCGGTGTCTTAAAAATTGAATGAGGCTTAATTTTTCTTTTAACATCTCTGCCACACTCCATTATCCGTCTCCAATTGCAGTGATTGCCACTCTGAATCCCCGCTTCTCCCTCTAAACGATGAGATGCATCAGTGGTTTTTATAACATTTTATATCAACATATCTAAACACTTCTTCTATTTTTCAATCAGAATGAGAGGCTGACTCAAAATGCACAAAACTTATAATAAATGGAGTAAAAACAGAGGAGCACTTTACTTGTATATCCGTGAGCAGGTTGCTCGTCTCTCTCACTCTCGCCCTGGTGGCGTCCAGCTCCATGAGAAGTTTTTCCTGGCTGTCTTTAAGACATGAGATGTGGTTCTCAGCATTATCCAGATTTTTTTCACTCTCCTTCACAAGATCCTTTAAATGAGACACCTGAGAAAAGCCACAAAGACAATCAAACACATGTATAAAATTACAAAATGGAGCTTTCTTACAATGCAGTAGATTCCCTTACATACAGTATATGTCTTGACGTAATGAACAAAATAATAAACTCACAATTTTTAAAGATGGAAATTACGTTAGTTCACAATACTACATTTACGTTACATGGTATCAATATGTGTGTGTGTGTGTATATATATATATATATATGTATATACA